CTTTGAAACGACGAATATGTGCGGCGCTAGGGCGAGAGCCACATTTTGAAAAAGAGCCGCGGTGCATCCGTGGAACTCTTGCAGTTGTTTAAGACGAGTGTGCGCGGCGCGAAGGCGAGAGCCACATTTTGAACGCGGACCACCTTCCGTCCGCGAAATTCTTGCATGTTTGTACAACGAATGCGCGCGACACTGAGCCACACTTTGAAAGCGGGCCGCCCGCCCTCCATCCGTGAAGCTCTTGCGAATATTGAGGATTCTCGCGGTTCACGTTCCAGAAATGGTGCTTTGGCTCGATGTCGGAATGTCAGAGCGTAACAGTCACGTTGATTCGCGGTGTTAAATTCCCAAGAATTGTTTTCTGGCAGAGCTTCCGGAATTTTCGAACTGTTGTCTTCCAACGGGGCACTCCCCTCCCTGAAAATTAATACCTGTAGGGGCCTGTGAGGAGGGAACTTGGAGGGAGGATTTGGAATCTCGTTGATGAGTCTTGGGTTTACACTGTTCCTCTTCCTCCTCCTCCTCATCATCATCGTCATCCTTCCTTATCACGCCTCCTTTCCTCCTGCCTCCTCCTGCCTCCTCATCATGCCCCCATTCCTGCACTTCTTCATCCTCCTAACGCTCCGCCTGGAGGAGAACGACGACGACATAGACAAAGACAACATCGACGACGATGACGACAAACACGACGACGACGACGACGACGACGACGACGGCGAAGACGAAGTCGACGAAGAAGACAAAGACGATGGCGACAAAGACGACAAAGACGACAAACACGACGAAAACGACGAAGACGACAAAGACGACCAAGACGACGACGCCAAAGACGACGTCAAAGACGACGGCAAACACGCCGACAATGACGACGACGACGGCGGCAAAAACGAAGACACGGTTAAAGACGAAGACAAAGATGACGACGGAAACGACGCGGCTTCTCTGCGCCGGCGGCCTGCTCTCGCGCCGAGGGCCGGCAGGCTGGACGTGCGCTCGCCCATGGTGGAGTTGGACGACACGCCTGGGCCGGTGGAGGGGGGGGAGAGCAGCAGCAGGGGCAGCAGCAGCGGCAGGGTGCACGGGGAGGACGAAGGGGAGGAGATCGCTGGGATTGATCGCTGAGATTCACCGCTGACCACGCGCGGAGGAGGAGGAGGACGACGACGACGACGACGACGAGGAGGGGGGGGAGGGGGGAGGGGGAGAAGAAGGAGGACGATGAGGAGGAGGACAAGGAGGAGGAGGAGAGAGGGGGAGGAGGAGGAGGGGGAGGAGGAGGAGGAGGGGAGGAGGAGGAGGAGGAGGGGAGGAATAAAAAAGGAGGAGGAGGAGGAAAAGGAAGGGAGGAGAAGGAGGAGGGGGAGGAGGAGGGGGAGAAGGAGGAGGAGGAGGAGGAGGAGGACGAGGGGAACGAGGAGGGGGGGAGGAGGATGGGGAGGGGGGGGGACAAGCTTGGTGCGCTCGCGTCATGTCTGACGTCCTACCCCTCCCTCCCATCCCCTACCATGGCGTAGATCTCCTCTCTATTCGCACAGTCGGATGTCGATCAGGGCAATGATCCCGAGAGGGTGCGCGATGCATCGTAGAGCATGGCATAACAGGGCGCAGAAGAGCACGGCAGAGCGCAGTATGTCATAGCATGGCGTGGCGTGGCATAGTGTAGAATTGCATCACAAAGCATTGCAACGCAAAGAATGGCATCGCACAGCGGCACAAAACAGAACATGTCATAGCATGGCGTTGAAGATCAAACCGTAGCATGGCATAGCATGGCGTGGCACTGTGTAGTAAGCACTGCATGTCCTAGCATTGCAGCTGAAGGCATGGTATCGCATAGCGGAACACCGCATAGCATTGAATCGCATGCCGTGGCATGGAACTAGAAATAATGACGCCAGCGCTGCAGCGGGAGCACGATTCGGAACGAGCGGAAAACCGAAAATGAGGCCAGCGCTTCAGCGGGAGCAACGTTTCAACAAAAAAAAAAATCCGAGGGCCGGACATCTTCCAGACGTCATCAGGGGAGAGAAGAGAGTAGTACTCATGTTGTGTGATTGTGGAGGAGGAGGAGGAGGAGGAGGAGGAGGAGGACGGGAGGAGGAGGGGGAGGGGGGGGAGGGGAGAGGGAGAGGAGGAGGAGGAGGAGGAGGAGGAGGAGGAGAGGAGGAGGAGGAGGAGGGGGAGGGAGGAGGGAGATGAGGAGTAGGAGGAGGAGGAGGGAGGACGAGGGGAACGAGGAGGGGGGAGGAGGATGTGGAGGGGGGGGGAGGAGGAGGAGGAGGGAGCAAGAAGAGTGGGAGGAGGGGGGGGAGAAGGGGCTTCGTTTGCTGACTCGACGCGTGCACTGCGGACGGCGGGCTTCGAAGTTCGGCAGAGGCGCTGAGGAATCGCAGCGAGCTCCGATAAAAAGAGTGGGGAGGAGGGTGAAGGGGAAGCTCCTCCTCCTCCTCTCCTGCTCCTCCTCCTCCGTCCGTCCTCCTCCCTCCTCCTCGCCCTC